CAGGAATCACAAACTTATACTTTGAGAGCGATATTTGAGCCCTTTTTATACCATTAAAATAGGCTTTAATGGTGTGATCGCCTCCGGACTCAAAGTCCCGAAGGAGTCCGACAGACATGTGTTTAATTATTTTCAATTGAATCGTTTGATTACAGAGTTTTGCCAATTCTTGCTGTAATTCTGAGGCAAATATGGACTCAATTCCGATCTCCCCTAAAGTGATGTCCGCCGGAGTGGCCGTCGGATCGATACCCAGAGATCGCCACAAATTATTAATAAATGATTTCGAGCCCTCTCTGGCACTCGTATCCAGTTTTAAGATCGATGTCTCAACTGTTTTCACCTAATGTTTTTGAAACAATATGTTTTACAAATGTAGAGTAACTTGCAAGTAAAGTAAAACTTTATATACACTATTTTATAAAACTAACTAGTGTATATCAGTCTTTGTAAATAGCTATGTTTTACTAAACAATAGTAAAATATGAAATGGTGATTAAATTGAATTATATTCTATAAATTTCTTTAAATTAAATATCTTATACATAAAGTATTAATATGAATATAAACAATATTAATAATATATTTTATGTATTGTATAACAATTGCATTTAATAAATGAGAATTACTAAATGCTTAATTATTGATCAAATTTAACAGAAAATTTTTAAATGATACTTTGATTTGAAAGAGTATTTATTGAGTGTCAAAACAATGTCATTCANAACAGAAAATTTTTAAATGATACTTTGATTTGAAAGAGTATTTATTGAGTGTCAAAACAATGTCATTCATTTGTCTGTATGTCTTGTCCTTCCGGAGTAATCCTCTCCCGAAGAAGTCCACTCCCGAAATAGCTTTGGCAATGTAATCCAATGGCAATCAATATATTTAAAAAATAAATGTGATAAAATTTTTTAATTGCCTGGATCAATTGCTATAATTTATAGCTAAATTTTATTTTCTTTATCTGATCTTCATATGAAAACACTTTACGGCATTTTATTATCTCTTTTTAAAAAAGTGCCATGGTCATTATGCCAACGCTTTTCGGGAGTGGACTTCTTCGGGAGAGGATTACTCCGGAAGGACAAGACATACAGACAAATGAATGACATTGTTTTGACACTCAATAAATACTCTTTCAAATCAAAGTATCATTTAAAAATTTTCTGTTAAATTTGATCAATAATTAAGCATTTAGTAATTCTCATTTATTAAATGCAATTGTTATAATTATTAGTAAGGGTAAATTTGAACATACATTTACGGTTACGACCGGGTATTGAACGGCCAATAGTTTGTCCAATACTTCACAACACGAATGGATCCGTTGTTTCTGAGTTGTCATGAATGCGAACACTTGTGTCATCTCATGCATAGCGCCGACGTCACCGATCGGCCCAAACTGTATGGCCAGACCCGACAGGCCGTCCCTCTGTCTCTGTTCGCAAATGCGATCGCAAATAGAGTTACCGTAAGTATAGTTCAGTTGTCCCTCGACTCCCATTCCCACCGATACCGACGAAAACACCACAAAATGGTCTAAATTATAGTCCAATTCTCGGCTCAATTGATCCAAATTCTTGCATATCTTCTCTTTGA